TTGAACTGTGATATGGCTGCCTAGACTCCTGAAATGTTGTGGGATACAGTTGTGCTGCAACTTTTTGTTGTGAGTCCCACTGGTCATGTATACATTTGCTATATACATTTATTTAGTGGAACTACAGGAATCCACAGTTTAGTTACTAGATACGGCATTGGATGGACAGCTAGCCAGTTAAGGGAAATGCAGCCCAGTCAGTTGATGGCTGTTCTATGTTCTAGTTGTCTGGTGGCCTGCCCTTGGGTCTCCATATGCTGTGTTTGAATGGCACACCAGTCCAGAACAAGACTTTCCTCATTCATGGGTAGGGCAGATGATCAGGCATGCATCACTGAGATCTAAGTAGGTGAACACTGTGGAGTTAGCCTATCTCAGCTCTGCCTACCAGATATGACCTCAAGAAATACCCAAGGGTCTGAGAAGGAGTGTTGCTGTGGTCTGTAATAATTCTCTCCCCACCCTTTCTCTCTCTCCCAGCTTGTTTGCATTTGGTGTTGAGCCAATGGGACAGATTGGGGATTCTGTTGGTGTGCTGTGTACCCTGCTGCTCAACATGCTCCCTGCCTGAGCTGACAGAGGTGGTCCTAGTTGCAATGCTGAAGTCCAGCAGAATGTTGTTTCTGGGAGATGTTAATGTACATTTGTGTTGCATTTCATTATAAATTTACTATTTATAATAATGGTAAATTATAGGACCTGGCAGTCTAAATATATAACTCCTGTTTTGACACACTTGTACTGATTGTCTGTATGCTTCAAAGGACAATTCAAGGTGCTGGATTTTAACCTATAGAGGCTCACACAGCTTGGGACCACAATATCTTATAGAATGCCTCTTCCAACCATGGTGTACTCAGAAAATGCAAACAGCATCTGAGCCCTTACTCCAAATGCCACTTCCAAGGGAGGCTCAGCAGACTGCAACAAAGACAAAGGTCTTTTTCCATGTTAGCCTCCTAATTACTGAACAATAGGCCTGCCTGGCACCAAGTTTAATACCGCTTTAGTGGACTGTCACCACAGAACATTTAATTAGTTTAATATTATACTGGTACTTGTGTCAGCTTACTGAATTTCTATAACCTATTGTAGATTTTTAAATGAGTTTTAAATTTGGCTTTTAAATTTTATAGTGTATTTTTATGATGTTTTTATTGTTTGTATTTTAATGCATTGTTACAAACCACCCAGAGGGCTTTGGTTACTGGGCTGTATAGAAATAAAATTAACAACATCATCATCACAGCTGGCACCTGTCCTAAATGCCTTCTACAACTGTAGTACTTATAATAGTGAAATGACTGTATGAGCCACTTCTCTGATACCAGACTTGTGATATTAAAATGGAGTTCTGAGTCCGGCATGCAGTGCAGTGAAATGGACCTGCTCAGCATTCTTTTCACCAAGCCCCATGCTGTACAGCTAGCCTGAATGGGCATTGCTTTGTTGTTGTGTGTACTCCATCCTAAGAACAGAAGTATGGAGTTTTAGGGATCACAGCAAAATTCAACTGAACATGGGACAATGTAAGGAAAATAGAAGTGGAAGACACCAAGGGGAACAGGAGATAAAGGTAAACAAATCCTTTATCTTTTTGGGTAGAACAGCTTCTTCTCAGTACCTAATATGAGACAAAAGCAGTTGTATGTCATTTTTAAAAGACTTGTTTTCACTTCAAAACAGGAATTAAACTTAAAAAATCTCCAAAAGAGTAACAGGAAAATATTACAGTCATTTCCTAATCCCCAGACAGCTACACTTGATTCTCAATAGTATGAGAACATTGTATCCCATTGCTCAGAAAAGCTTCCAGATGGAAATGTTTGGGTGTGAGAATGTCAAGCCCATTCTAACCTCACATGTTGCATAGATAATACTTCCTCTCTTTGCCTGCATAACCTCATGCTTCATGTATCCTGGCACCACTTGTAACATTCACCCTTCCTGCTGCACCTTCTTCCTTTAAATCTGCCATACTCTCAAGTACTTAATGCGAGTAAAGTCCAAAATACTTTTTCAGTCATGTAACAGGAAGAAAAAATGTTCAAATTCATAGATAACTGCAAATAAATGCAGTTGGATATGGCCATGAGGTAAAAGGGCAAAATAAAATATGCTGTATGCAGTATATGCACCATTTTCCATAATGATAATCTCTTGATCAAAATTTAAAGATGATATTTTAGTCTATTTCTTCCAAATATGTGTGTGTACACATTTAAAAATGTTGGAGCAGTGGGTTAAACGACTGGGCTGGTATATCAAAAGGTCAACAGTTTGAATCTGCACAACGGAGTGAGCTCTCGTGGCTCTGTCCCAGCTCCTGTCAACCTTGCAGTTCGAAAGCATACAAATGCAAGTAAATAAAAAGGTACCATGCTGGCCACATGACCACGGAAACTGTCTGCAGACAAACGCTGGCTCCCTTGGCTAGGAAACGGGGATGAGCACCTCCCCCAAGGGTCAGACATGACTGGACTTTAATGTCATGGGGAAACCTTTACCTTTATATATTTAAAAATGTTAAACAAAAACATAACAGAGATCTGTAAAATATAAACTGTGAAAAAATAATGTTATTAAATGGGATGGAATGTATCACCTCATCTTCAAGTAAATCAGTACAGGATTGTAAAGGCAGATCACAAATAGTCAAGCTTTTAGAAGCAATGGACAAACATCTAACTAAAATTCTCTTTTAAAATAGTTGGAAATGGTTTACCAGTATTATTTATAATATTTACTAATATCTGCCTAGAAAGGAAAAACTGAGGTGGTTAATGAGACCTCAGAGATTACAATAATAGATTTTAGATTAAGTCTTGATTTTTGTGTTTTCTTTGGAGTACACATTTTATGTGGAAAACCCTAAAGGGGCATGATGTCACGTCTTGAATGGCGTCCAAAACATTTGCCAAGTGATGTCGCCATCAGGATCCCTTAGCAATTGCCTTCCAGAGTGAGAAAGCTCTCATATAAGTTAAGGTACAGTTCTTTTATTATGATACTGAACTAGCTGATGTTACATACACTCACACTCCATTGTTTGCTTCAGAACTGCACCTTCATTAGATTCTAACAGTATTAATTTTATAATTGATTTAGAAGCAGATAAACTGTCTCAAAATGTATAGCATAAAATTTCAGTGTGGGTTTTCATGACCACCAACATTTGTACTCTCCCAAATTCAACATATGTACCTAATACCAAGTGAAGCAAAAGATAAAACCTGTTCAAGAACCCTAGACCCCTTCCCCCACTGAAAACACACACCCATCTACCCACATGCTTTAGAGGCTTCCCTCTTTCCCCTTTAAATTCCTCTCTCTCTATGGTGATGAATATTTTCTGCAGTGATTTTTTAAAACATTAATAGGCTTTATGGCAGTTCTTTTGTAAGTGCAGGTTGTTTGTAACTTGGGTGATCTTAACTTGGAGACTCCCTGTGTTTGTGTGTGTGTGTGTGTGTGTGTGTGTGTGTGTGTGTAACCAACTATTATTTTATTCTACTGCTGTAAAACAAGAAGTTCAGCTTGATAGTTGAGAGCTAAACCTGTGTCGCTCATCTACAGCAGTACTGTTTCAAGATAAGTCAAAAGAAATGAAAATAGTGCAGAATGGTCTGGATTCATAAAGGAGTAGTAGAGGAAACTGCCCTTAAAATTAATGGTATCTTTGTAATGCATGTAATATTGTAAGTATGGTTTTGACCCTGGTTACTTTGTTTGGCTTCAAAAGTAGGGTGAAACTTTCTGTGTAAGTATAGCAAAGGTGCACTGTTTCCATGTGTGTTGTGATTTCTAATGTGTTTTAACTTTGCTATTTGGGGATTATATTGTATATTGATGTAGCAGTATGATTTACCCACATTAGCCACCTGACACACTTAGGCCAAGTGCATAGTCAGTTGTTGTTGTTGTTCAGTTGCAACATTCCTCCAGGTTCTCCTGTCCTCCACCACCCCCTGGAATACACCCAAGCCCACACCCACCTCTCCAGTGACCCCATCCAGCCACCTCAACCTCTGCTGTCCCCTTCTCCTTTTGCCTTCAATTGTTCCCAGCATCAGGGTCTTTTCCAATGAGTCCTTCCTTCTCATTAGGTGGCCAAAGTATTTGAGCTTCAGTTTTATTACCTGACCTTCTAAAGTCAGTAAGATTGATTTCATAGTCAGTAGAACTTAACAAATCCTTGAAACAGTTTGCAGTAAGCAATAATTAAAACATTACTGGATTTAAGATTCAGAGGTGGGGAGTATTTCTATGTGGTTCATATCCTGCCACTCTAATAATACTTGCAGGAAAGTAACCACATAGATGGAATGAATTATTTATTTTCTTCCCATACCAGCATCAGTCGGCCTAAATGAAAAAATCATACCATGCACCTTACCCCTATGCTGTCATGTAACTGGAAAAGTAGAGCATCCAGCAACTACTACATCATCTGAGTAATTGAACTTGAAATTATTATTTTTAAAACATGAAAATGGAATTGTTGCAAAAGAGAGAGAGAGAGGGTAGGAATATTTAAAAAAGAGTTCATACTCTGTCCCTGAAGATTCTGCTCAAATTAACATTGCCACAACAGACCCATTTCATCCTTTTCCGTAACACAGTTACTAAAGTTACTAATTCTTAAGAAAATGCAGAAGGATGTATTCTGAAGTGTAAGACATCTATACAAAATGAGAGAGTGTACAACAAGTCGGGGAGTGTAAAACAAGTGGGAGACCGGAAGTATAAGAAAAGAGTATAATATCAGAGAAAATAAGATGAATGAACACACTAACATTCTCATAGGATTCTATGATATTCTCTATAATGTGCCACAAAGTCTATTTTCTATACCTCAACTAAATACCCCCCTCCCTCTGCAATTACATTTCTGATGTGTTCAAATACTGGATATAAATCTAAAGTTGAAAATGGAAAAAATAAAATTCTAGTACTTTGTAAATTTTTAAGGGTAGTTTGTAGTTTTAGAGCTACCTTACCGTTGTTGTTCCTGTTCCAATAGATTAGTAAATTCATCACTTTTCTGCATATACTCTGCATGCTTCCTCTTCTCATCCTCTAGGTCATATAGGGTTTGCCTGTGAGATTTTTCTACCATTAAGAGTTGCTCCAGCATGCGCCTGTGCGTTTCTTTATGCTTTTCAATCACTTTGTCAAGCTAAAAAAAGTAACAAGATTCTCTCACTAATGTTATTTTCTTCATTTCTGTAGTTTTTAAGAACTTATATTCATTTTGAGTAGGTAATGGTGTGTCAGGTACAGAAAATAAAGAAAAATTACTAGTACAGACTAAATTTAGGAATATATTACTTTTTATCTAATTCTTATTTATTTCAAATACTTCTTGGATAATTACCACTTCATTTTGCTACTTCAGCAATGAGAAATTTTAAATGAACTTTAATATTTGTTGCACTGTTACCTATACTTTGTTTGGCAACTGACTCTTAAACAATTATGGAATACTTAATTTACTGTTAGCAGATTTAGACTTCTCTAAATAAAGATTCTGCCTGCAGAAATAACCACCTTGACACAAAGCAGTATTTCCATTAAATAGAAGGTGGCCAAAACAGTAATCAGAGTTCCAGCTCTAATTGCCTTAGTTGATTATTGCCATCTGGTGTTCTAATTTCTTTCAAAAATTTTAAACAAATAAACTGATCCTGATATTTATTGAACACATTTGCCTCAAATACAGTGCCCACAATACCAGTGTAATGCCTGTGTTTTGCAGGGCTATTGATATACTGTTCTCCATCTTAAACAGTAAGATGCTGCAGCAACAAACTTTTAGATGTTACTGATGAGCAGAATGGGACTTTTCTACGTGAGGCTTTTAACCCATCATTTTATTGAGGCTTCTGCCTTCAAATTCTTTGGGGGTTTATGTTAATCTCCTTTACACATGCTTTCCTCCTGGGTTTTTTATTCTTCTGCCTCTGTATATGTCCAATTACACAACTACTATATGGTGCTGCAGTGCAGTAGAACTGTGCAAAAACATGAGGATTTCATGCCACAATTTAAAGTCATACTTTTTTTTATTACACTGCACCCCCTTCCCCAGTTGCAAAACATGGGAGAAGCACTGGAGGATGATGACATTGTGTAAAGCACTCAAACTACTATGATCATGGGAACAAAAAAAAAATGCTTTCTGTGGACAGGCTTTAAAGGCATAATGAAGGGAAATACAACAATGAACATATTTCCCTCATTTGTTACTGCTTTGATGGAGTTGCAAGTCTTTTGACCAAGTTTATCTTAACTTTATGATTTTGTCAAGTCTGTCTCAGCTGAACTGTATTTTGTGATCTGCAACTTAATTTTTCCATGTATAAATCAACCTTCAGACAAATTTGTTTGGACTCAACCATAAATTAGAGATAACAGAGTTAATTCATTAAAAAAGGATTATAAAAAGGCTTGTGCTGGAAATTGTTTAAATTTTCAGTGATACATGTAATTCGTGCTCTTGTATGGTTGCTTGGGACTACAGCACATTCACAGTAAGATTTTAAAGTTGCCATGCACAGTTCAGTGCCAGAGCTTTAAAGATAGTCAGTAAACAAAAACATTTGTTTGCTAAGGGTTCTGTGTGCCACTTCAGCTCCAAATGTCTGGGAAATTACAGCGGTTAAGGACCATGCACTTAAAAGACCTGTTACTTAGGCAGTGTGAACATGCTATGGTATCATCTGCTATAACCTACTGCTTTGGAATTAGATGACTGTCAATGGTATAGTGGTGGATCTAAATCCCAGATTGAATAAGATAGGTTCCCGTTTTGGTAACAAACATGACTGGTTAGACTTTGTTGAGCATGAGAGGACATTTGGGAATGAATGCTTCAAGCAAAAGTAAATTCTGAATTCCACAAACCAACAAGGATGTCAACAGAGTACCAGCCTGGCATTGACTTCATTTAGACTTTAATTATCAACACTCATAATTTTGAAATAATTATCTTTTAAATTAACATTGGTTGGCTATTTCAAGTAGCTGACCAGATTTCATTAGGAATATTTTGTGAAGCAGGCATTACCGTTTTCTCATATATTCCATTTTAAGTTATCTAATTTGATTAAGCAAATGATGAGAACTTTTTTAAAAAATTGTGCAATACCGAAATCCCAACCACACTAAAAAAAATAGATTTTTAGAGAATCTTGTGTTTTTCAATTTTAAATGTTTAAGATCCTGGGTTGTTCCTAGGTTGTTCTTTCTAATCATAATTTCATTGGCAGAAGGCTTGCGTATATGATGGTAGTACAAACTGAGCAATGAAATCATATTCATAAATAGTAGAAGAGTGATCAGAAAAGGAGGAAAAACTTTCCTGTTTGTTCAGAAATAATGTCTTAGGAAGTAATGCTTGCCATTAGTGCTACAAACATTAGTAATGAGTATATTCTTGATTTTACAACAGAATTGAAATTGATCTAGGATCCACTTGTTTGCCTTGGGAGGGGGCGTGTGCATAATTTTCTCAAAGCTCTCCTTCAGCTCTTTGTTTTTAAAGCATCTGTTTTCTTCATGACAGCTTACTTAAGTTCCACAGCAAGTACCACCAACACCACAACATGGTTGGCACAATGGCTTTCTTGACCCCTTTCAAATCTACTATTCTATGCTTCTATGATGATGATGACAATGATGATGATGATGATATCCTCAAAGGAGAGCCTGAATGAGGCCAAGCAAATAATGTAAGCACTTAGGGAGGTGTAAGTTCAGCTGATGGTGACAGCCAGTTTGCTTCATTCCATTCTGTCAGTATCTAAGTTTATTGTTGTTTTTGTTTTTAACTGTCAGGAATATTTCCATATTTTGTAAGACTAGGAAAGATAGGAAAATTTAATGGCAGGGAACTAAATGAATGAGAAATTTGCACAAATGAAAAGTCTTAGAAGTAAATTGAGGTTATCTCCATTTTTTTCAGCTCTTGACTGTGTACAATATTCCCCTTGGTTTATTCCTTGCCACTAAGCATACAATTCTCTTCCATTTACTTTCCAGTCCAAAAAAGGGGGAAAGTGCAAATATTCTTGTTGGTTAACTCCCCTTCCCCCTGCACACACAATGACCAAACAGAATGGAACAAATGGCTCACCAGCAGTACTTACAACACCTCCCCCTCATGAGGTCCCATTCACTCCATCCCATGTAGTCGCCTTTTTAGGGCTTAGTTAAGTATTATCAAGGAACTGCAGTAGCCACATCAATAAGTGCTCTGAAAAGGGACAGGTAGTTAATACCTCTCTTTTCTAGACTAATTGTACACTTGGGGAAGTGTTGAAGAAGTGGAGCACATGGATAAGTAGTAGTTCAGCACTTAAAGGCCAGAAGATCACATTGCCAAGAGGAAGATATCCTCCCCCTTTTGTTGAACTTACTGCTTTAGTTCCCTCCACCATTTATGACATACTGGGTTCTCCCTTTCCCTTACTGATATTACTAGCCTGGTCCTCCACAGCTATTTGCAGTTTAGCTGATAATGCTCAACTGTGTGCAGATTTCTTCTACGTTGCCTGAATAATAATTCAAAAAAGTTGGGGAATTAAAAGGAATAACAGTTGTAGTGGGGAGAGAAGGCCAGGGTGGAGGACAAGACAGATTATTTCACAAATTCCCCTGGGTTAAATACTGAAGCTAGCTAGAGTAGGGAAGGGGAGAACAACTTCACATCAACACTGATTGTCTGTGAAACATAAAGTGGGTTGTTCAGTGAACAAGCTACACTGTGTACTCATTTTCACGGGTAGATCAGCTTTATGTATAAACCCATCCAAAGCTTCCATTTGTATTTGTAGCATCTAATGAAATTCATGAAAGCTCCTGCTAATTTATTGGAACACTTAAACAACTAAAACATGTTAGTTGTTTGCTCCACTTAATCCTTGAACTGGCAAAACAAGTAGCTGTTGGTAAACTTTTGTAATTTCTTTTTTAAAAAACCCTCTTTCAATTCTCCCATAGTCTGTGCGTTTTCTGCCTTCTCAGGATCACTTTGCATGAAACCATGTGCAATGCATGCACTGTTGTGTGACTGCAGTGGCTTACCCACCAGTTTTAGAGATAGTGAATTGTTTTTATGAAATGGTTGTTTAAATCTTCATTACCAAAGAGAAATAATCCAAGCTGACATTGAATGAGTTACTGACATTCTTAGTGATTTCGAAATTGGGTTGTCTGTCTATCTTAATACTTCATTAAATGAGAGGGAATGCAGAGCACACTGGAAATGCATCGTTTACTCTGGCTTAAAACTGGGACCAAGATACATAGAGAATAATTTTAGTAATTTTAACTGGCAAAGCTGTCACATGATTGGCAGTAGTTTAGCTCATGCTCTTAAGAAACCAGTATATAAATAACAGTGATGCCAGGGACCAAGCATGAGGTATGTTTCCAGAATAGTGTAGAGAGGTCACATAGCAATTTCCCTCTCTTTTGTCCTCCAACTGTAGTGCTGGTTGCCCCTTTTCGTAAATATTTAACATAAGCAAAATTAGTCTACATTTTATTTTCCTAATTTTAAATAGAGTTTGGAAATGTCCAATGTTTATCATCCTTTTTCAGGTCCAGAACTTCAGTGATTATGGAGAATCTGTACCATTTTAACTTTTTAATGAGTGTTTACATCGTCTTTCATATTGCCAAGTCCAGTGGTGTTAGAAATGGTCTTGTTGCCATATAACACTAGGAAAGGAACATTTGTATAATATATGCAAGTTAGAAGTCCAAATTATGTTTTGGAATTTTGTGGTAGCAAAGAGGTGGGGGCTTGCAGAATTTTTGCCTGGATCGTTTTCATTCATGTTTAGAACTTGATGCTTATGATCTAATATCCAGTTTTCTAAAAAGACATTAATCTCAGTCATTGGGCTCCACCAGATTAGATCCTAACTAGAGGGTAAAACTAGTTTTCATGCCTGACATTTGTCTGAATGTGTGAAATGAGGTTTTACCATTGGGTATGCTTCTTTCTGAAGCCTGGAAGTGTCTGGTGCAAGAAATCGGTATTTGACATCTTTTGTACTGAGCTGTAATGAACCAGGATCGTGTGTTTTTGTATGATGAGCAATGCGTTCAAGAATGCATGTAGATTGTATCACTGTTCATCTTTTACTTGTCTGTAGTTTTTACCAATGCCCCAATCTCAATCAAATGGCATCAAAATCAAGTTAATTAAATTGTTCATACAAATGTTGACTGAGTTGATTGACTGAGTTCAGTGGTCACCCTTTCATCTCCCATTGTTCTCATTGAACACAGAAGTAGAATTTTATTTTATTATTTAATCTTTTGTAAGCTGTCCTGAGGCTTGTGCAAAGGACAGGATTAAAAAAAAATGTTTTAAATAAATAAATAAACTAGAAGATCATGGTTTCGCTGCTGCTGCTATTGAAAATGGAAGAGCTGTTGCAGCTCAGAGTATTTAAACATTCTGCTTTAGTTACTTCAATATTATGCTTAGGTGAGACCCCATATTTCCACCTTAAAACAAAAAAACTTACTCAAGAGTGGTAAGCAAGCATGCAAGCTGGAGGCCAAGGAATCCCACTTTTTGGATCCCCCCACCTCTAGGAGGGTAGGACACACTACATTTGAAATATAGTAGGCCTTCTCATTTACTTGACTGCTTCTGTTGCCAGTAATCTAACAAGTCATATCCCTTGATTTTGCTAGCAGCTGTTGATCTGTTAATTTACTTCAGTGTTTTAATTCATCCCTGGAATTTGCAGGCAGGAATATTTGCAATGAGTCAAAAGGTTACTATCCCAAAAGAACTGGTTTATGTAAACAGAATCAGAATTTGAAGATGGTGGTGCAGCAATGACTGGCTGATCCAGTTTGCCAAATTTATCAGTTCTCAAGCTTTGGAAGAACATCCAATCCAAACAAAATACTAAATGCAAACTATTAAAGTTTGTTAGACATCAAGGGAGGGTGTAAGACTTGCAGAGTTGTGATGCAGGAGGAAGTATAAAGTGGGGTTAACACTAATGAAGAAAAGGGTTAACATGGTTCTTAGAAGTTTGACATCATTTGTGGTCGATCTCTTAGCCTGCTATATCTAATGGAATATTGAATTCATGAATTGGTTAGACTTTTACCATTTATTTAATTATTTCTATTCTCCCTAAAAGTCAAAGTTCAGTTGACAACCATCTTTCCCTCTCCCTCTCTCCCTCTAATTAAAGGATATTTTCAAAGCAAAAGCGTGTCTCAGTTCTGTAGTGGAGATTTAAAAGCCAGTATCCTTAAGCTCTGTGTAAGCTATTCAACAAAACTATTTTGCTTTGCTGGCACTTGTCCTTCTCCAGTCTAATCAAGGAGACAGTTTCCTTTTAATTCCCTGAGTTGTAGGATTAATTTCCATATGCATATATCCTTCTTTAAGCATACATTATACATACCTCTCCCATGGGTTTTTCATAGATATCTTCCTGCCATAGTGTAGCTTTGGCTTGTATGGCATCTCTCTGAAGTGCCTCAAGGACTTTTTTTGGCGTAACAAAGCCATATTGTGCTTCAAGTAAAGCCAGGTTAATTTTTTCAGCTTTTAAAACACCTATGACTTCATCCTGAGCCTGTAAAAACATAGATTAGTCCATTGAGTTATTTCTGGGTAGAGCAATGGCATTTAATTCCTTCTTTCATATACATTCCATATATTGTTGTTGTTCAGCTGTTTAGTTGTGTCCCAACTATAAGTGATCCTCTGGGCCAAATCTCACCGCACTTTCCGATCCCATGCCACCTCTTTCAGCTGAACTATGCTCTGTCCTGCATCTCCTTTGATAGAGTCTAACTACCTTGCTCTTTGGCGACCTGGTTTTCTCTTGCCACAGAGCATTCCAAGCATATTTTTTTCTAATGAGCTTGATTTTATAACATGGCCAAAATATGTGAATTTCAGCTTTGTTATCTTGCCAACCAGGGACGCATCTGATTTAATATGCTGTAGCACCTGCTTGTTCATGACTCCCACTGTCCATGGAATGCGCAGAAGCCCCCACCAACAGCACAGTTCGAATGAGTCAGTTTTCCTCTTGTCTGACTTTTTCATTGTTCAACTTTCACAACCATAGGTTACAATAGGAAAAATGAAGAAGAACAAGCATTCATCGAAGTAACAGCGTTCCATGCACTTTGATGTTTAGTTATGCTGGCCACATGACCACGGAAACTGTCTGTGGACAAACGCTGGCTCCCTCGGCTAGGAAATGGGGATGAGCACTGCCCGCAAGAATCAGACGTGACTTTAATGTCATGGGGAAACCTTTACATTCACATTTATGCATGTCAGCTTTATACTAGCGGTTTTTACTCTTGACTGCTGTTGGTGCTTCTTAAACTCATCTGGCATATGAGTAATTTGGGATGGAACACTTTGTAATAAAACAACAGTAATTATTTAGATGTGAAGTCAAATGGGCCTTAGGAAGTCTGCGCAACAACAAAGCTAGTGGAGGAGACAGTATTCCAGCTGAGCTATTCAAAGATGATGCAGTAAAAGTGCTACACTCAATATGCCAGCAAATTTGGAAAACTCAACAGTGGCCACAGGATTGGAAAAGATCAGTTTACATCCAATTCCAAAGAATGTACAAACTACTGCACTATTGCACTCATTTTACATGCTAACAAAGTTATGCTTAAAATTCTACAAGCTAGGCTCCAGCGGTATGTAGACCGAGAACTACCAGAAGTACAGGCAGGATTTCTAAGAGGGAGAGGAACTAGAGATCAAATTGCCAACATACACTGGATCATGGAAAATGCTAGGGAGTTCCAGAAAAACATCTATTTCTGCTTCATTGAATATGCTAAAGCCTTTGATTGTGTGGATCACAACAAATTGTGACAAGTTCTTAAAGAGATGGGAGTAGCAGACCATCTTATTTGTCTCTTGAGAAACCTATATGTGGGTCAAGAAGCAACAGTGAGAACTGGACATGGAACCACTGATTGGTTCAAAATTGAGAAAGGAGTTCGGCAAGGCTGTATACTGTTGCCCTGCTTATGTAACTTATATGCACAGCACATCATGAGAAAGGCGGGATTAGATGAACCACCAGTTGGAATCAACAGCCTCAGATATGCAGATGATACCACTCTAATGGCAGAAAGTGAAGAGGAACTAAAGAGCCTCTTGATGCTGGTGAAAGAGGAGAGTGTAAAAGTTGGCTTGAAACTCAATAATTACAAAAACTAAGATCATGGCATCCAGTCCTATCACTTCCTGGCAAATAGATGGGGAAGAAATGGAAAATGACAGATTTTATTTTCCTGGGGTCCAAGATCACTGCAGACGGAGACTGCAGCCAAGAAATTAAAAGACGCTTGCTCCTGGGGAGGAAAGCTATGGCAAATCTAGACAGCATACTAAAAAGCAGAGACATCACCCTGCCAACAAAAGTGCGTATAGTCAAGGCTATGGTTTTCCCAGTTGCAATATATGGCTGTGAAAGTTGGACTATAAGGAAGGCTGAGCACTGAAGAATTGAGGCCTTTGAATTGTGGTGCTGGAGAAGACTCCTGTGAGTCCCTTGGACTGCAAGGCAATCAAACTGGTCAGTCCTAGAGGAGATCAACCCTGACTGCTCTTTAGAAGGCCAGATACTGAAGATGAAACTCAAATACTTTGGCCACCAAATGAGAAGGAAGGACTCCCTGGAGAAGACCCTAATGCTGGGAACAACAGATGGCAAAAGAAGGGGACAGCAGAGAATGAGGTGGCTAGATGGAGTCACTGAAGCAGTTGGTGTGAGCTTGAGTGGACTCTGGGGGATGGTGGAGGACTGGAAGGCCTGGATGAATGTTGTCCATGGGGTCTCAATGGGTCGGACATGACTTTGCGACTAGCAACAACAGGCAACAAAATTATTTAGACCATCGGTTGGTTACTTCTCATCAACTTCCCTCTTTTACTTTGAGCTCCTGCCACTTTCCCCATTTCCACCTTGTGCCTCTCTGAAGTGTCTGCAAGTATTCATATGAAAATTCAGAAGGAAATATTATTCCCTTCTGTACATAATAATAGCTCTTCTTGAGTCTATTACTGGTGCCCATCTCATGTGTAAGCCTCATATACCAAACTACTGGAAAGTACTCAAGTATTATAAGAGAATTAATGGCAGTGAAGAGGGAAACTTCAGGAACTTTGATATATAGTGGCAGAGAGTTCCTTAGGCCCTAAAAAAGCATTCACTAAAAATAAGATGCCCCATAGGTTTTCTTTGCCCAGTGGTTTTCCCACAGGTGGTCCCAGTGCTAAAGAGGCAATCCCTTGTAGCAGTAGAGAACTAACTGCTCTTGGTTCCAGTTTTCCCCTGCATCTGCTAAATGGTGGTAGTCTTTATGGACATATGATTATACAACCAGGCTGTAGTTAAATAGGCTGATGAATAGCAGCCTTGACTTCTTTACATACTCCCTCATATTTCTTGATGCATTTTTTGTGGGGAAGGGGAGCAATAGATAATATAACAGTTGTTTGTACAAGCTATGTTTCTAATAGAACATATTTTGTAAGGAAAAACAACTTCAAAGGTATTGACAAGTTTAAAAAAAAAGTCGATCAACCCTCTTGTGAAGCTTAGGAGCAAGGATACAAAGTCATCCTTTGCTTTAAGTTAAGTCAGAAGTTGTCTGCTATTATTGTTCCATATATGTGTTTATGCACTGAAGCCAATGAGATACTCGGTGCAGAGGATATGACCTTCCATAGCATGCATTCCAAGAGCATGCAATAATGGCAGCTCTTTAAAACAAGATTAATTGGCCTCAAAGTTGGCAGGGTGACCCAAGTATGTTTGTGATTACTTATGCTATGCATATGCCATACATGTGACCACGATTCAAAAATAATTAAGGATGTTAGATTTCAGGTGTCATGGCTTAGATGCTACAGAATAAGCAGTCTCTTTAAAGTGGCTTCCATCAGGCAATCCTAAGAAACTGCATTTTTAAATTATTACCAGTATGTTTAGTTGAAATTGTGTCCTGAATCACATGAATTGATTTTCCCCTCAAATTCTTCAGGTCAAATACTTGTGATGTTAACATCTGGTCCTTTTTTTAGTTTTATTGTGAACTAAGTACAAGTTATCAGTTAGTTTTCAAGTTATCTCTAGCTTATCATTACATTTTTCAATACTGACTGAAAAATCATAAGTCAGAGGAGTCATAGATCAGTTGTGGAACACAATGGTAGAGCATATAATTAACATACAGAAGCCTCCAGCTTCAATTTTCAACGTTTCCAGGTAAAACTGGGGAGCACTTCTGTTGGAAACCCTGGAGAGCCACTTTCAGTCACTATAGATAGTGAGCTAGATGAATCAGTGGTCCAGCTTGGTATAAGGTGCTTTCCTTCATCCATCTGCTTTCATCATTTTAAATATTTTAATCAGACTTCTACAGAAATATATCAATTGTTCAGTCTGTCTGCAGTTACATAATCCAACCTGGAAAGAACATTCCCCTTTGTTTAGGATACTAAATTTTGAAGACATTTGGGGGTTTACATTTTTTCCTCACACACACTGAATGATCAGCTCTTGCATACACATTCACACATTCAAAAGTGGAACAAAGAGGAAAAGTTTTGGTTAGCCAAACACCCAGGTTAGGATATATATCTTGCCTAGACTCCTCTTTTTATTCCAAGTAATTTGATCTCATCCTGATCAAATGGAACAATTTGTTGTCAGATTTATCTGATCAGGACAGAAGCCATGCTTGAAACAAGTAACTTTTAGTAGATACCAGACAAGAGGAGGACTTGCATTAATGAATATGGAATTAAATGGCCATCCAATTCAGATAACTTGTAGGGTGGCTGAATTCCTTCTCAGAGCACCAGTGAATGCATGGAGTAAATACAACAGGCAGTGAGTAACTGCCTTCTAGATGTTTTAATATGGACCTGTCACCGTGACACAGCTAAGGGCATCTTTTGCAACCCAGTGATTAGAAACACTGTACTTACTTAGGAATGCTGCTGGAAAATTGGCTCCTGATCTGTCTCCACCAATGTCAGTGCTGCTTCATTCAGAATTGTACAGCACACAACAATCCCCAAGGCTTTTGTGTATTGATGCTTGCAAAATTTATGGCTTGTTTGATTTACCAAATCTAGGGGAACTTTCTCCTATGTATATATCATGCAGGGGGAAGGAACCCAGTTGTGTTGCCTTTTTATCAGTTACCTGCAAATACCCAAGCTTGCATCAGGCTGGCAGGCAAACACTCACTCACTTCTTTTGAATCCTTTATACAAACTGTGTTTACTTTAGGTATATTGCCTATTTTTAACACAAGCCTAATGCCATTTTTGGATGACAACACATGGATTTGAGAGTGACTTTAGGTGAGGCTTTGGAAGATGATGCATGTATTTGGATCTATTTTCCATCTTTATCCCCATCATCAGTAATATAAAGGAAGCTCAGTGCAAAGTACTTAGTAGGCGGTATATTACTCCTACAAGTCTTTACCTAATACATATGAACTATAATCAAACTATTGTTGGAATGGCTGTGAACAGATGGATTCAGTTTTAATTTTTGGTGAGAACATTCAGTGGTATGGGAGCTTTGGAACATGTTGCTGATTACAGAAATTTCTTCACTTTATACCTTTGGTAACTTTAAACATATACTTCGTCATTTTCAACTGAGGTGGAAATCTATGAAAAAGAACCCAACTCAGCCTACTGGCAATCATCATATTAAACAAAGGCAATCTTTGTTCCTGTTGTTCCTGTTTCCATATATCCATACCATAGGCTACCTCAGGATCACATTTGCATGATACATTAAGCCACACTGAGATGTTTAAGAGCAGCTTGTCAAGATCATTTTTATTTTTGGTTTTTCCATGAACAATTTGACACCCATGAAGGTGCCATGAAGGAAGGCCACTTAGATGATGAAAATGTATGCTGCTTCCTGCAATCTCACTAGTGTCACCACCAACCTCCCACATCCCTTGTTCTGCTATCTGCTCCTAAAAACTGAGAAGAAAAGACGCCAGAGAGTTTCCTGAGCCTATTTGCAACCTTTAAAAAGAAGAAATCCATTGTCTCACATGAAAAACTTATGGATCGAATAGGTTTCCATTCAGCCCAAGGGGGGTTCTTTGGCCAGTTCTGCCCGTGATCCTGTCATGTCCCTAGTCATGAAATGTAATTGGGAGTTGATTAGGGCCTTAGACACATTTGCTCCTGAGCATCCTCTCTGTCCTGCCCCGATGTATGAAGCAGGAAGGATGATGACTAGAGTACCAATGTGGAAATTAAGGTTCTTCTCCAACAAAACACTTTATAGAGAGCATCTTTGCTTCTGTGATATGGTGATACATTCAGTGAAGAATGGTTTGTTCTCTGTCCATATCATGTCTATCCCTGAGCTGTGCAATGGTCTGCTGGAACAGATGAATCTAATTTCCCAAATTTTCTCACCTTTAAGCGAGAGTTAAAAATCATCTCTTCTGACAGGCCTTCCCAGATTAATTCTCATGTCAGTTTTATTTAATATGCTGTCTTAGTCAATATTACTCACTGTTGGTTTTAAATTTCTTGTAAACCACCACAACCTATTGGAGTGGAGCAGTATATAAACATTAACATAGATAAATAACTGAAATAAATGTCCATTGCTGAGAAATTACACAATTTCCCCCTCTGTTCTTCTGCATAAGGAATTTGCATATTTTTGCCATTCTCCACCACTGCTCTAGCAGCTAACAATGGAGACTAGTGGAGGGAAGCTGCAAGCATGAAGGGGCTAGAGCTGAATGCAGCTGGTGGATGCAGAAAGTGAATATAATTACTTTGGTAGTATGTGAACTAGTTTTTTTTTTATTTGCTATCAGGGTACCATAGCGCAGGATGAAATTGACCAATATATTGACAAGAGCTTACCATTGGTATGGTGTGTCAATTAGTAGACAGGCCACTTTGTGCTTCTCACTCATTTAAAATATTTTTTCAAAAAGTTTGCCAATGTTATTATGCTAATAAGGATTCTGCATTTGGCATTCTGATGGGATGCCAGAATGCATTTGGCATTCTGATGGGAAAGCAGGGACAGTTTTTCTCACGAACCAACAACTCCAGCAGATAAATTGCACGAAGGGAGCTGACACAGAGAACAAGAAAATAAGGTTTTCTGCCACAAAAGCACCTGGGATATGTGCTCAGAGTGCACAAGAGTAATGAGGGGAAAGCAACCCATGGCAAGCTGCATTGTGCCCAATTATTTGTCTGGGAGAACATGGATTATCAATTGAACAACCAACCCACAGTGAGTTATCTTTAGGGTGGCTTAGTGTGAAGTGTTAACTTACCCTTTGAGTCCATGGCAGAAGTTTGAATTGGAACAGCAACTTTTAGACTATGCCATTTATTTTGGAATAATTCACATTAAACTCAGCAATACTTAATTCTGAGAAAATATGCAAAGTATCACATGTTCCGCTACTATTCCACAGTGACTGACTGTCATACTTTTTAGTCACATACACACTATTATTTTTATGGTTAGGTGCAGAACACAACATTTTAAAACTCTACTTAGATTGAAACTAGAAATGTACTGGCCTGTAATTCACCCTCAAGTACACTCAGCAGAAATAATAGATCATCCCGGGAAAGGTCTTCACCCTTTTTGGAATAATTTCTGTGTTTCTTGTCTAATTCAGGAGTTCTTAAGATGGTATCTGCTTCTGGTGCATGGCATTTTTCTGATTGTGTCCTTTTCAGTTTTACTTTCCCTGGATCTTCCATATAGTGGTCATTTGGTTGACAGTGTTGTGATTTGGAAAAGTTTTCTCTGGTGCTATTTTTGGAAGGCATTTCCAAATACCTAGAGAAAGAGAATCAAACATTAGTTGTAAAACCAAGATGTATAAAATCCTAGGATTGTTGCCTAGCAGAATTTGCCTTAGATCTAGCATATTATTTTATGGTTTCTTAGCTTCATCAGGAGCCAGAGCTAGCCCAAAATTCATTTTAATCCAGGCGCTATGCAAGCCATGAGTTGTGCCTAGTGCTGCTTGCAAAAGGAGGAAATGGTGGGTTAGAGTTTTCCTATGGCTGCTAAATGAATCCACATTAAAGTGTTGAGAGAAGAGATTTAATTTGATGAATTTTATCAACATTTCTAGCAATTTCTTGTACCTTTACGTAGTTTCCCCCCTACAAGTTTTTTATTTTCTAATCATTAAAGACACCCTCCTTGCTACAGTAGCTAACGTGCCATCTATTTATATGCAGATAGTTGAAGCTTAGAGAATTTTATATCCAATACATTTGGAACATGAAACTGTCCACTGCAATCACAATTCCTTGTCAGATCATGATGCTCTGCATAATTAAATATTCTCAGGGTGCATGAAAGAACCTGTCTGCAATACTGGTGTTAAATTTTTGGAATTCAGGAAGTTTCCTAACAACAACTCAGAGCATTGTTTCAGCTATCTCAGTGTTGTCTATGCTGGCTGGCAGCAGTTGTCCATGCTCTCTTTTCTACTGATCATTCTATGTCACAAATACTGAATTACTTAGTTTAAGTTAAACTTCAGTGGGAGCAGATTGAAAAAGTCACACCAAGTGAGACTAAAGGCTAGTTAAAACAAAAAACACTGCAGTCTCCAGTGGTTCACCAACAAATTGAGGGCTAAGCAATTCTCTAGGTTGAAATTTTTAGGTTGAAATTTTTTTATTTAAATAAAAACATACTACAAAAGTTATAAAAGGTACAAAAGTGCAACGTTACAAAAATAGAAAAGTACACCATCCAATATTTACAAGATATCAAAATGCCAAATGTACACACATTTACAGGATTCCCAAGCTTTACAAATCAAATGTACAAAAAGAACGTTCTACAGACTTCTCCTTGATAGGTTCATGCCATGCGTCTCAGCAACATTTTCCATGTATGAGCGGTATACGTACATTACGTGATCGGGGCATGAGCCCCACTCAACCGCGGCCACAATTTCCTCCACCGACTGGGCGGCATCCCCCCTTTTTCCTCGCGGCTCAACCAAAAAATCTTCTCTTGGACAAATTTGACCGAGCCAGCCACGTCAGCCACCTTTTGCGTCTTTATCTCTCTGTGGCGTTGGAGCAACAGCGCCAACAGAACGTACAGATTAATCAGCCTAATTGTGGACCACGGTACAGTCCAGTACGTCTTGGGAGCTATGGTCTCTCTGCACCGCCGCTTCCTGGGCACCCTCCTCCTGGGTCCCTTCAATGGAGGAGTGGGTTCTGTGCCAGACATGAGCGATTCCCAGTCCGGGAGCCCAGGTCCAGCCAGTCCAGCGCTTCAGACACCACCTTCCACGTGCCGCGGGGCAATCGCTGACAAAGTGCCTCACCGTCTCCTTTTGCGCCGTTCCGCTCGCGACAGCCCCGCTCTTACACTGCAGTCTGGGGCAGGCATGCGCCCACTCGGGAAGCCAGGGTCTGGTCCCTTGCAGGTCATACACCTGATGATACAACCTCCACCTGATGTCCCACAGCCGGAACGGAACCCTCCTGTCGTGAAAATATTCTATCAGGTAAGTCTGTTCCCTCAAGTATCGAGAGAGGTTCTCCCTCCTAGCATTCTTGACGACCTGCGGTCTGAAATAGGCCACCTCTAGCAGCTCTCTAGGGTAAGATGTACCATGCTCTGGGACCTTTCACTACGAGAGCTGTTTATTCTATATCCAGCAACCACCAGGGTGAGGTGCTTAACCCAGTGGTCAGGCAGGATCATGTAGGAGGAGACAGTGATTTAAAAATCTTGGCCTCATGTCTTTTAGGGTTTACAGGTGATAACCAGCATTTGAGATAATAAAATTGCTGCAGAACAGGAGTAGCATACTTACTTGCAATTGTAATACGTGTTTAAAAATATATTTAGAACTTCTATGACTTGGCCATTACAAATTAATTGACCCTTGATGATGGTGAATGCCAGTGTAAAATACAAATGAACAGGATTGTAAACTTTGAAAAGCATTGCATTTCCTCTATGAGTTCCTGATTATTTGACCCTACTTACAGAATGAAGATAAATAATTATGACTATTTTCACACTGGGGACATGCATTATCCTGAATTTATCAAGAATATTACCAGCATTTTACCCTTATGGAAGTTTTTAGGAGGCTAGGATACAGACATTTCTGCAATTTCTGATACTATGAAACATTCATAGAATGTAGATTTGGAAACATTTTTCCTCTGTATATATAAATTTTTAAACATCTGGATCAAGTAGTTAGGATGTATCCTGAATTAAATGTGGTGCTACTTTGTTATTCCATTACTGGTAGGTGGTTTTAATACAGGAGTAGTTAATATAATTGTCTAACATGCTGGCTGAATAGTTAAAAGTCATAAGATCCTGTATTGCACAGGAAGAGGAAATTTTGTGTTTTTAAAAGGTTGCTGTCTGTGGTGTTAGTTGATTTTTGTTGAAGAAACAAGAACATCTTTACCATAAGTCAGTGAACTGCCTACTAAACATTTCATAGCAAATTTGACTTTTTCCTACACAAACACAAGTGGGTCCTGCAGAAAAGCTTTTGATCTTCCCTTTGAAATTTCTGTGCTTGCTTGATCTTCAGAACATAGTTGACAGACAACAAAACTTTGACAGCACCAATGTTGCTAGACAGCCATCTTCTCTAACCTGGTGTCCTCCAGCTCCTTGCATTCCTAACCATTCATCCTGATAGGTGGGGCTAAAAATCTAAAACATATAGAAGGCTGGGAAAGCTCTAGTGGAAAATACAAGAAATATACCTTTTCCTTATATGGCCAACTTGCCACAATGTCCCTTAAAATTTAGAAAAGTATAAGTTGATGCATACAAATGATGAGCTATATTAATTTTAAATGTTCCCTCTAAAACTGATCACAGGAGATCACTGAGCAAAGAAGATTGTAGCAAAAATGAAGCTATCAGGAAAAAGTGGAAGGTAACAGCCTGCTTAGAGGAACTCCAGGGTTTGCAGAAGTAGAGACAGGGCTGGAAGGGATCTGATAGGCCATTTAGCTGAACAACAGTATGAAAATTCTTTAGTAGAAAAATAAAAAGTGGTAAAAGCTAGTCCCAGACACCTCAGTGTGGCCTGAGCAGACTGAGCATGCTCAATAGCCACCTAATGCTGTTTGTAGGGTAGGGAAAGGTGATGGAACACCCTAGAAGTTTATGTCACTGGTTCAGTGTTGTGACATTCAGCAGCAGCTGTCCCAACAGCAATATTTTGTTTTAGGTCCCACTTTTAATGTATCCGAAAAAAGAATGTCTGGGTTTTTGAGAGAAGCTTGCTGGATAAATGTCAGGAATTTTCCTTAGAATGGACAGTGGACTTTTTATGATAAAACTTTACCATGATTTCATGGGTGGCTATGATTACAGCTATATAAAGGGGTTTATTTGAAAGAATGATTTCATATGTGGCTAGTATTTGTATGTAATAGATGTGTTCAGTTCACAGGCATCAGCATTAATTGCGAGTAGAGATAATAAAGAACAGCATTGTATCAAGATTCTTTCTGGGATTTTGTGATTCCTACTATTGCATTGCCTTTGTCTTTGCATTTCATTAATATTTTGAGGACATTAATGAAAGCTGTGGTGGACATGTTGTAACTTCTCTGAAGGGATGTTTTATATTATACTGGAGTTGGATGACTAATGCATCAGGCAGCTGGTACTGTGGCCTGTTTTGGTTTAGCAGAGGGTGTAAAGTGGTAAGAAAAACTAGTGCTTCTATGAAGCAAATAATTGATTCTTTAGAACCTTAGCATTCTTCTTCTTTTTCTTTTTCCTTTCAAGCAGACCTCTATTTCTTGGGATTCCTTTGTAGTTTATTTTTATTTTTTAGGGTATAAGTGCATTTCAAATATATTGCACATGTTTCTGATTTTACCCATGGCTTCAGTAGTTTGCACGAATGCTTGGTAGAAAATATTCACCACCTCCTTAGCAAATTAAATCTAAATTGGATTCATGCAGCTGTTTCTTCCAAGTGATGTTTTATAATCCCTCTTAAAAGAGAGATACATAGTTGCATATCTGCTTTGATAATCAGTCTTAATTTGGAAGTTTTGATTTCTTTTAGCTGATTCAGTTTGGGTTGGCCCATAATTGACAGGGCTATTCATCCATTTGTAATAACTGTCTGCATTCAAAGCCACCTCCTTTGTTCATATCTCTTGCTAGTCTACTCCTACCTGATCTTTCATACTATCTCAGGTGTATTTTACACCCAGCACGAGCTTAGCAGTAGGAGAGATTTGCAAATGCAGCTGCCATAGAACTGCTGTATCTATGGCATAGCATAAACTGTAGGTGCACACACAGCTCTGACCCTGCAACCTGGCTGACACTGACAGTCCACTGAGAAGGGGCAAATACTGCCCTTATAGCTGGGATGGGGAACACAGGACACTAAGCCCCATCATCCTTCACCATTTGCTATGTTGGCCAGTGTTGTTACAGACCACCTAACATAAGGGGGCCACATAGTTCCCCTCCTTAAAAGTGGCCATACTTCCAATGAAATACAGGTTAAAGGACAGACCAATTCCCTGTATGCCCTTACACATGTGCATGATGGAGAAAATAGGAAAAAGGACCTTCAGAAGATAGAGTAGAAAGAAATCTGGTTTGATCATTCCTAAAAATGGCAGTGGAGTACAGGAAACCTACTGTGGTTGCTGAGAAAAGGGAGCCTTAGAAAAGGCCACAAGTAGGTACTGCTTCTGCTAAAGTGGGACCCAGACAGCTAGAACATGTGTTCTGAGGATAAAAGATCTAAAGAGGTTCCGTTAAAGAATTTATGTTCCATGGCTTAG